CCAGAAAGGATAAACAATAAGGAACTTTGACAAAAAATGGACCAACAACCTATCGCCTATCGTGAAAGAAATGGAGGCAGATTAGACACAAATTATCGAGGCCTTTGAGTGAAATTACATGCCATAAAGGATCTCGAGTGGAACTCGAACAGTAAACATCAATTGTTTCTTTTGACCAACAATTGCATGGAGGAGATCGTATAAAGTGTGGATAAAAGCTCATAAACGATTGTGGAGTCGGCTTAGCATGATTGCAAAGAAATGAATACCTATATTAAGCTCAGAACCAGAGGGAATTATAACAATAATAACTTTGCATGTGGAAGGATTCAATACATGCCTGCTCTGTCATTCTCCCTAAACCCCTAGTTACTAGTGCCCAATCAAAAAGTCGTTCAATTTATTACAAGTAATAAATCTCATTTATCGGTCTCATAACCTTAATAATACAACTGGTAAGAAAACTTCCAGTATAGTTTATTTCTTTCTATGATAAATTTAATTATAGAACTGCCAGCAAAATCTTTCGATGATAACATTTCAATAAATTCACGTTTATTGTACGTTTTGTTCCTTTCCCTATTATGGCAGGTTTACATCGTTCATCCATGTTATCTCGTTTAGTAATGACTGACAGTAATATGTTAGCTGAGTGAAACAATGAATACATGCTTTATATTTGACTGATCAATATAATTTTGAAAGAGGGCGTCGAATACATACCGAGAGAGAGAGAGGGACAGAGAGTATTCTGCACATATTCGAAGTATAATAATGTCCATTAACAGGTCTACAGAATATGTTGAAGATACTCATATAAGAAGGAAGTTGAATAAATTATTCATAGTAACAAATATACTTTCTGTGCTACTGCTTTTAACTTGAGTTTAATGTCACAGATAATGTGGAATAGAATTAAAATTGATATGCCAACAGACAGTGAAAGCTCCGTCAGTTATTATTGTGTTATGATTCCCTTGGATTGTGAGTGAAACACTGGCCTTCACCAGCACCTGTCTATTTCACTCTGTTCTCATGAGTTTTTCTAAGCTGACTGTATGATTAACAATAAACTTTCATCTCCTCTTACGATCTCTTCCGTGTCATCCTTGGTCCAACCCACAACTTGTAGTTTCCTATCCGGGCTCAATTTGAGGGCCAGTCTGGCACGAGATGTTGCTCGAAAGTCTCTCCATCACAGCAGATGTCCAATCCATCGCATTTGGCATATTTGTTAAGCGATAGTTTCACTGTTAGTTAGTGCCCATAGTTTTTAGCTGCTAATACTTTCTAGCCATGAGATATTAGATAGTGAGCGAAGTCTTTTGGAATACGTTTTCGTAACATATGGACCAAGTCTGTTAACCACACAGAAGTGCTGATTTGACATTAGTGTTGAGTATATAAATCTTGTTCCTTGAAGTGACCGCAGCACATTTTCACCCTGATTTCAGATTTATAAAGATCCGTCTGACTCTCGAGATCCAGCCTTTGAGTTGCAGCTTCAAACACAGAAAGCGCCGTCTAAAAAGACAAATAATTTTCTAAGAGCAGACATAATCTCAGAATATTTAGCAATTCATCCATAAAATCTAACCACCGTAATACTATTAGGTTCTCCCATACATCTCTTCAACTTATTAAGTATTTAGGAGATGAAGAGGATAACGTTTATACAAAGTACGATGTTTACCAGCGGAATTACTTATATCCACAAATCCTGCAGTATCCCTTCTGTATAGGTCGAAGGCGAAACAAAACATCAAATTGATTGTCCAAAATACAAAACGTATTGCAGGGGCAAAATCGTGGTGCGACAGCGTGCCAGGTGGCGTGGATGCTTGGCCGCGAACGTCCAGCTTAGCCAGTGGACTGCAAGTTAATAATTTCGGAGAATTATTTGCCGCTACATGTATAGTGAGGAATTGGGAATTTACGCTGCAATCGAAATCATAAACAATAGTTATCAACTTGTATTTAATTTCATTTATAAAACTCAAAACTATCTTGCGATAGCAAAAATAGAATTTAAGAACCAGTAATTATTTCACGAAGCTGCTACATTTTGAAACAAATGAACCTCGAGAGTTTGAAACAAACGATAAGAAATTAAAAAGACCAAGTGATGAGAAGACATTCTAAATTTTACTTGATAGACAGTGGACTGTAGTAAAGTACAGTATTTTGGATTTGCCCGCTGGATATAATTTCATTTCTGTTGTTGATGGTGTTCACACTTGAACTCCAACCCAGAATCCGTCGAGTCATGTCATTCACCCGTTATATGTAAAGTAGTCATCAGTAAGTATACATTGGAATATTGAATTTTATGATATTTATCTTTACTGGACTGAAGTAGTCAGCCTAGTTTGTGTGAATTATTTAGAATTACATGTACAACTTTACCAAGATTACATGGATGAGTTGAAGTGCAATAGTCCGTGATTTCGTTAAAACTTACTATTGACATGCAAACTCTCCCTATGATAATATGTTAAAATTGCGGGTCATTATCTCTTAAACGTCTCAAAAACGGTGATTGGATTGACGCTCAAACACACAGATTCTCTTTGAAATAAATGATGTTGGTTAAAGGATTCTATGAAGACTATATTACCAAACAACTTACGTTATTTCACGAGCTAACTTCAACTTACCAAATCCTTGCGAAACGACTCTCAAAAGTTCTGTCTATCCAATATCAAAATCCTAGTGAAATCTAGATAACCAGACAGACAATAAAACTTAGTTATTGAACTGCATGCTCTCATACAAACACATGCAACAGACTTGGAAACAGTGAACGTTTTGAAGTCTGATATAACAATTTGAAAGGAGAGGTAGACTATCGAAGTATTCCATATCATATTAACCGAGAACGGCTATAATACGATACACACGTATTCGATATACCAGAATGTCTTACTACCTCTGAGAATGTAAATGAGAAGAACCAAAAGTGTTAAAAGCGAATTAAAAGGTTGTAAAACTATATTTGACGTGATTATGAATGTTAGATCCTATTGGAAACTTCATACTTTGAGTAAACTAATTTGAAAATTTATGAAGACATCTGTTGATGTACTGTATCAAAGATCAATTACAAAAGGGACTTAATGATGCTTACACTCAAGGCAGCTGTTGGTAAAAGTCTGCAGCAGCCTGTTGGGAATGCTTTCGTGACGTATCAGTTCGTGATGTATTCGCCGAGTTTCTGTTGCCTACAGAAGAAGCGATTTCACATTTGTGTTGGAAATCAGACTCTTGTTCTTTATGCTAACTATGTGCGATAGATTTCCAAACTAGTTTCAGGTCGATGAAGGCCTGTGTATCTAGATTTCCGATTCTCATTGGTTGGCTATGATACCGTCATCCTTTCCGGCTCCCTTTGATTGAAACCTTGCTTACTAGACAAGTGAATGAAGTGACATCTTTCGAATTTCTTCCGTTGATAGTGATCAGTGCAGGTCGTTGTCACTGTTGATCCGTTATATTCACCACCTCCATTTTCTCAGTGTCTATCTGGAGTCCTGTCACTACCAGCCTTTTCGGCCAGTCTGGTGGCTTTCGCCAGTTGACCGCCATAATATACTTTTCTCGGTGGTGACGACGCGTAGAGTTGCAATTTGATCAGCACATGATTCACCTTTCCTGAATCCACTTTTTTCAAGTGGAGCGGAGTTCTGCATGCATTGCGTCCTTTATTCTCCCCGAGAGGCCGCGATTAGTGTTTTACTTGGCGTGGACAAGAGAATGACTCTGCACCAGTTCTTACAGAGGTCTAAGTCGCCCTTATTTGGTAGCTTAACAAGATAGCCAGCCTTTCTTACAATAAGTAGTAACCTCTTCCACTTTCCGGAATGCTTCTAATAATGGCTTCAGCAAATATGTCGCATTCTCTGGGTCCATTTTCAGTGCTACAGGAGTAATTCTGTTCGGCATTACTGCTTTCCTGTCTGACCTTCAGTAGCTTGATTGAATTCAGGACTTTTACTTTCTCTGGAGGTCTGATGTCCACTAGCATGCAGTTCTCCGCGAGCTGGTTGGGGTATTTCCGTGCGATGTGCGGATGATGAGCAATTCAAGAGTCCTTTAAAGTGATCAGCCCTTTGTTTGATTTTTTTCTCCTCCTTGATAATCAGGTTCCCTGGAGCATCCTTTATTAGTATCATCATCTGTGTTGATCTCTTCCAGGAGAGAGACCTGGTTATCTGACATGATGTCCTGAGTCCTCTTCTACCTGCCACCCACCTGTCTTGCTTCAGTTACTGGCCAGTGTATTGTAGAACTGTCTTTTGTCTTTCCTAGCACTCTTCTTCACTTCGGTGCAGTGTACAGTGAACTAAGCTTCTCCTTCTGTCGCTTATCTCTGAATTGAATCATTTTCTCTTCAAGCATCCTCCTCTCCTCTCCACGATTAGTTTCCAGGTAAGTGTCCAATGAGAGTCATTCCTTGTCTTGTATCTTGTATTCCTTGTCTTCTTCTTCTTCTAGAACAGTTTTACACATTTCCCAGGGCATCACCTTGAGAGAGTTCGTTACAATGTTCTTCCTCAGTGATGCCAAGTAGTGTCTCCGACTTTGCTCTGATCTGATCTGCAGTGAAGATATCCTTAGTGGTTTCATCTGTTAGTTTCTGGGCATTGGACTTGAGTTGTGGCCTGTCTCAACTTGCCTTAAAGGCTTTCAGCTTCATCTTGAAACACACTATTGTCAGATTGAACATAATTAGCTATTTCGAACATTCCCATTAATCTCTAATCAATGATACTTCCAAGCTATCAATACAAAATTATCAGAGAACACAATCAATTATCTCAAAGATAACATAATGAAGTGCATTTAACTTCGAATTTTAATGCGACATTTTATTTTATTTCTTCATTTTATCAATTTTTTTACTTATCAACGCAAGTGCACTAAAAATATGAAAATACTATTTATTGTAAATGCATCAACTTACCATTTAGTTTGAGTAAAGTGTCTTTATACAAAGAATAATGCAGTGGACATATTTATTTCTCATTTTACTTCTTATTTCACAGACACTTTCAAACCCTCAAAATAAAATCAACGATGGTATGCATAGCAGAAATGGCTCCATAAATATAGGTGGGAAAGATAACAACCATAAAGGTAATGGCGCTACTGATGACGAGGATTCTGATGATGACAGTGAAGGCGGAGAAAACGGTGTTCCTAAAAAAGATGTATATGACGTTCAAGCTTATAGAATAGAAGACCATTTGAAAGGTAATATCTTCACAGATACCGAGTCCTATAAACCAGCTAAAACAAACAGAAGAGGAGGTAAAAAAACAAAGAAGCCCATATCAAATAAGAATGCATACAAAGTAGATAAACCAGAAGATGGCAAAGATCATGACAAGGATGATGACTCTAGCTATGCGTATAAACCTAAAAAGCGCAAGCAATCAAAGAAGCCAAGACGTAAAGAAAAAGATTATGATACAGCAAACAATTATGCCGAGTCATACAATGATGATTATGAATATGATTATAAACCAAAGGAATACACTTATGAACCGAATGATAATTATGAGAATAATGACAACGATGAGCGTCCACGCGGATATAAAAGTAAAAAGTCGAAGAAAATTAGTAAAAAAAGAAGGGGAAAAAGAAGAGAACAAGACGATTTAGAATCGAAATACTCTAGAACAAACGATTATGATGATGAAGAGGAGGAGGGTGATGATGGTGATTACAAACCAAGGAAACGGCGCAGAAGTCCTTCAAGGAAAACTAGAAGGACAAAGAAAAAGTATACACCAGATTATAGTTACACTTATGATGAGTATACTGATCGTGACAATAATGACAACCCCGATGCAAATAACCAGAGCGATAAAGATGACGGTACGTATGATGGTTCCAGCGGCGACGAAGCTGAATAGACATAGTAATACATTTCATGGCGGTTCTTTTCCTGACATCTTCTGGAGTATTTATTTTCTGACATGAATCTGTAACGTGTATGTCTTCTAATATGTTTAATAATTAACAAAAAGCTTATTCGAATTTCTGTGAGTATTTTGTTGAATATTGAAACCGCTTTGTACAAAGAGTTAATTACATATATAGACGTGTTGTTTAAGATATCATTTAGGCATTCGATAAATGTTATTTTCGGAATTGTGAACCCACGCTGTAGCATTAGATTATTTGTCCTTTGTTAGAACCACGCAGAAATATTCCCTGATGTTGACTTTAAATTAGTGTAGATCCAGTAGCTTTATACATTTACAGCTAGATGAGTTATTTTTATCGTGGTAATATTTAAGTATGGGGTATTGCTTATTAAAACTGTATAAGAAGCATTTCCACTGGTGTAGTTTCAAGGGTAATACTTCATTTTATTATTCATTATGTAATAATCGAAAGAAATTACTGAGATCTACAAGATATTTGCAAAACAAAATGTGTAGCAAATTTTTTTAACTACTTGATAGTTTGATGATTCCCTGGGAATAACACTTCCAAGATGCAAGCAGTTGCAAGTGACACTGCCTTAGAAATCACTTAATGCGTTTCCTCTAATTGAAGGTATTGTAGGTATACCCTAAAATATTACACTGTTATCGTCAGTGTTGTATGTAAGTTACTTCAGCACACTTATCGGCCACTCAACAGATTCTGAAGCAACTTAGATGTGAATTTAACAACAATAATAATAGCTTTATTCTGAATATTGTTTATATAATGTATAGAATTTTCAGCGGAGTTCATAGCATGATATTCCTTCTTCGTCTAGGATCTTCAAATAAAAGATTAAATGATAATAGATTGTCTGACAAGGTTCTGTCTGACCTAAAGTGCGAATCAATCCATTATGCCATCTCTTCTTTTTCTTCATCGAAAAATACACGACAATTTGTTGAAGTTTATCAGTATATTTTGTGAACCATGGACACTAATCAGGAAGGGTCATCTCATGTATTGGTATAAGCTGACATTGAGGATAATGCTTTTTCTTATGTTTAGTAGAAACCTGCACACCAGCAGGTTGCAAATGCTTTTAGTAATCGCCAGAGTAAACAAAGCTATTAAAGGTTATACTTTACTAGATTTAAACAAACTGAATGAGAGAAATTATATGTGATATATTGATAGTGGTTTTCGGTAGCCCAGTTTTCAAGTTGACCGCTAATTTCTGGTGTTCTCTGAGCAAAATGATTTAGGGACGAAGCTTTCATTGTCTTCCAGAAGGACATATTCAGCGTCTGGAATTCTCCTGTTACGCCTAACTCAGACTGGTTGAGCCTGTTGGTTTCTTTCTGGGTGAATTCACTTGTTTCAGGTTTGGTCACGAATTGATTTCCCTTATACAGCCATTGAAAACTAGGGAGTACTGGACACCCTCTTGGTCTTAGTTGAAGACTCACAGGCAGTATATGCCCACCAGGGTTCGGAATCAAGACCTCCCAGTTGCAAGGTAAGCTCGTAGGCCAACAAGATATTGGTAATCGACTCAGTGGCCAGCGCGTGAGTTCTAACTTCCACTAATTCGTGATTTCAGCACAACCACCAGTTATTCACATGTAAATTTATTAAATAAATAAAATAGGTCAATAATAAGTAATGCAAAGGGTGTCTTTATAAGACTCCTTCTCCTTCTTAACTCTTATGTTCTTCCCTGTTTGATAAGTAAAGCAGAAGACTAACATTTTGAAATGTAGGACTGATTTGTTTGCTTAGATCACGCAATAAATATTGAGTAATATGTGAACTTGGATAGATGTTCAACAATAAAACTGAAACCTAAGATTAAAATCGACTATACAACAAAGTCTTCGTCAGACGCAAAGTTCCACTCACCTTGAGGAAGTGAAAAATGGCGGACAGTAATGTCTATGATATATTAGTTAATCCATGCGTCTGTAACTCCTGTGATGCCAGATTTTAGTAATATTCAGTCGTTACAGTGCATATCCTCTTACTGTAAAAAAATAAATTTATGTTTAATTATTACGCACGATTGACATCACCTGTTAATACATTTTAATACTTTGATATACTGCTAATACTTTGCTTCAAGCAGTGCTAATTTGGAACATGTCTCAGTTTAGAATCCTGCTTTTGAGAGTGTAAAAAGTTATGGAAATATCGATTAGAAGGCATACAAGTAAAGTGCACAATTTGCCATCACATACTACAGTGTATGCTCCTCTTTCACCATATATATATTCCAAAAAACAAAATTCACTAAAAATGCAATAAGATGGATGGCTGAAGAAAAGTATTTCTGAAATTTGATAATAATTTTCCTCTTCAGCTTTCGCCTGGTCATCGACATATTAACATCATATTAGAAGGCAAAGTCGGAAATTGGCATGAGACGCTTAAAAATAATTCATTTACTTCAGAAGAATCAGAGTAGGATCTCTTACTAGCTGAAATCAATGCAAATTTTCGTTCTCATTAGGCAACACGAGACAGGAAAGTATAATCCTTACAGTTCTGAAATAGACAAGCTTCAGTACTGTGTAGGGAATAATTGAATGAATTATGACGCCAAACTTGCAATTCGGAAAAAAACATTATCAGTTCGTCTAAGTGTCTAGCCGCAATTCGAGTGGCTTTAATTGATGTGAATCTTTGTGCCGAGTTAAACAGAGTACGCAGTCGGTGAGATTGGGTTAAAATGAGCGAAACAGGTACTCGCTGCTTAGATCACTTCAGTCTCTTAAAGAAAGAAAGAAACCAAGAGGGTTAAGGGGAAGAAGCACCCTTTGTGAGAAAAAGAATCATCAGTCCAAGTTCGGACACGGTAGGAGCAGCGTCTGGACGTGTTCTTTTGGATACAAAGTTCCGGCTTAGTTGATCTTTTTGCAACAGGTTCAGCTATGTTTAGCATACGTAAGAGCACTGTTCGTGATAACGACTTCAGAATTCTGTATATAACGCTGAAAACTGTGTTGACGTCGATGCTATGTCAGTACCAGCAAAGTGTGACAGGATCGAGCTTTTTATGCACTTAATTTCCCCCATGCTGAACCAAACTGGTAAATGTTATCTAACTCGTAGACGAATCTGCCTAATCGTGAGCCCTATTTAACGTGAACCACAGGAACAGTTGAAATGGTATATGCATGAAGAAAAGCTAAGGTTAGGTAAGACATCCTTGAGTTTCTGGGTGAACATTGGGCGGCTACTGAAGGATAGAGACAGACGTGCAGAGTATATTTTATAATTGTAAGAATCTGAAGAGAAATTATTGAAAAGAATATTCTTCGTTCAGATTGACTTTTAATATCTATGATTAATTGTGATTTTTGGAATTTGAAAGATCAGAAAAATTGAATAAATCTGTGTCATTGTAGCCAAGGATGAATTCTGTTGGCATTAGGCTACAATCATTCATCCTGTATATACTGAAAATGTCAATCAGGTAGACTATACCATTTAATAAGCTTCAGACAACCTCTAATTCACTTCGTGGACTAATAACATGTGTTGATGTTATTTCATTGAATATTTCACGTTATGGTGTGCTGTAAGGCATGATAACATATTTTGAAGGCATAAACTCACCTGCTTTTGAAAATCTTTTAACTTTCTAGCAAATAGTCTCACCACTCAGACCATTTTAAGACTAACTCAGTGTATTTATAAAAACCAGTCAATGTACAGGCATTTAAGCATAATAGGATGAAAGAGATAGACTGTTGTTCCAAAGTTTGTATCATTTCAGTGTATGACAGACAAGTATTATTCGTGAAAATTTTGGAAGCTTATACTTCAAGGGTTAGCTTTTAGGAACTCGATTATTTCGAAGTTTAATCATGGATTTATATCATTTAGAAAACCACTGGAAGCCAAGAAGTGCTGGAAAGCTGTTTCAAATCACTTCCGGACTCCTCAATGGTATACACTAACAATTCCACGAGGTACTGAACATGGAACTTCAGGTCGAGAGGACGAACCGAAATATAATGACTTGTTATTTCTAACTTCTGTTAATTTGCTGCCTTAGCACAACAGCAAGTCACTGTCATTGGCGAGTAATTATCCTGACACCTGATCTACTGAACCCCAGTGGTAATGCCTTCTTCACTTGAAATCCAGGTGACTTCGTCCTAAGGCCAGCCAATAGTGAGCATCAAACTGATTTTCAAGAGTTAATTTGTAGAAATTTGATTAGTTTCAAGTGGGACCACAGGCTAATATCAATAATTCTTCACGGAATTTGTACTATGAAATTTGTACTATGAATTCATACAAACTTTTAGCGAAACAACTACGTGATCATTTACTATGATGAACAGATTGTTGCTTACATCACATGCTAATAAGGAAACACCCGAATTTGTTGATGAAGTACACAAACATTTATTATATAACAATTCCTAAAATATCCAGTTGTATTAGTAAACTCTCCTTTTCAAAAATAACTCTGGCTTTTTCAGCTGATATTTATATTTTGTTTATGTACTTACTTAAAAGTTAAAAATTATATTTTGAGCACGTGAAGAAGATAATGAAATATATATATATATATATGTCAGTCACGTATACATAAAAGTATAGTTGTATACTACTAAGTGATATTGTTCTCCGTCAGAAAAAATAGTTTTATTGATAACTGCATTCATATATTTACGTCTAAATAAGGAAATAACTACATATATCCTCTAATAAATACTCTGTATACACAGCAGTCTTTCACTGCTCTGAAAACAGCGTGGAGAAGTGTATTGATCATTATTATTCTTCCTATTGATTTCTAGTGGAACATGGGGATTCAGCTGCACATTTCTACTTTGTCCTGTTCTTTGAGGTCATTTTTAGGTAGGCTTCGTGATTGCTCCCCCATCTCCCTCTCACACGAAATCGTCCATGTTACCCTCGAACTCACGCCAAACTCATCGCCTCCCATTTGGGGGTGTGCTATGTC